ATACACTTTAATTGATGAATGTGTTTGTGAGTCATTGCTGAATTGATTAAGTGAACACAATCTGCTGATAGTGAGCAGGACTATTAGCCTTGCTGATCGCCAGCTACCACTAAGCACACAATTTCTCTGCTAGATATACCTATAGTTGGCCAGTGGTGATAAAAAAAAAAAAAGTCAAAGTTGTGTGTATTTTCACTTTGATGCTGTTCTCTTAACCTTTTAATATATGTGAAAGCCTAGGCACTGGAAAACATGGCTTCGTTTAGCGGGGGTCGTGACGGCGCCCCCCCCTCAGTCCTGCGCCCGGGGCAAGTGACCCCCCCGCCCCCCCGGTTGTTACGCCACTGAGCCTAGGTATTACCTAAAAAAAATAGGGGAGACATGACATATGCACTCTCTAATAGATCATTCCATTCATCTTTGACAACAAGGTAGTGCAGTAAATTATTACTAAATTCTTTACATTTGTTGCAGTAAATTCACCATATTAGTGATAACTAAGAAAAACAATGTTAATAAGTATCTCTTCGTGCTAATACATTTACAGCTTGTCACAATGTTGGTTTAGGCAGTTCACATCTATCTGTGAAGTTGCTGTGTATTTTACACAAGTCCACATGACTTTCTTTTATGAAAGAATAGCTGCATTTGTGTCTTGCTCTATGAAAAGCATACTTGTTTTACAATTTTGCTGATGATTAAAGATAAGTGAACTGAAAGTACATTATTCTTTTACACATTTCGTTTTTTAAGATCCTGGACTGTGAACTGTGGACAGGATTACTTCACAGATGTTTCACTTTATTTTTTTTATAATTGGCAGAGCTTTAGTATAGCACCAGCTGTAAGTGTGCTGATGTTCAAGAAAAAATAAATGTTATTTCTTTTAAATCATCAGTAAATTGGGAAATGAGCGTGCAGTGCAGCTGATGATGATTGGGGAAGATTTTTTTTTTGTTTCAGGATCAAAAACCCCAGCATCAGAACCATCAAACTGGACTATGCAAAGTAGCTGCTGATGCTAAATATTGTCATAAATATGATAAAAATAGATTATAATGTTATAGCTTTTTTGCCAGGGTGCTATAACACTGCAAACAAAAACAAGTGGCGGCTACCCTGCTGTACATTTAGCCCTGCTTGCCCAAAGTAGGGCTGAATGTAGACAACAACTACCCACCTGGTGCCCGGAACTGCATGTCCTGGGCATTGGGGGATTGGAATTCCACACCCCTGCTGTCCCCCTACTCCATGCTTCCCCAAGGCCAGGCCTCGGTTAGCCTTGTGGGAAATCCGGCCCTGACTGCAGCACCATCATGGGTTTCCAATAGCAGTACTGTGAACTGAGTAGGAAGGGAGGTCGATGCTGAGGAATAAGAAGACTAAAGTAAAATAATTTTCTGGTATGCAGCAGCATTACAGCACACCAGTATAAGCACCATGATCATCTAAAACCATATTTAGAGGCCAACAGTGAAGATAAAAATAAGTGCAAATGGTGTAATTTCATATCATTTTCCTTCAAGTGCACAGCAGCATTAGCATCATAAGTATTTTGGACCCAGCAAAGCGGCTGATTGTTATAATGACAAACATATTTATTGAGGCAGCACATTGGCTTATTTGTTAGCACTTCTGCCTTGCCACACTGGGAGTTTGCATTTTTTCCCTGTACTTGCGTTGGTTTCCTCTGGGTGCTTCTGTTTCCTTCCACACTCCAAAGACATGCTGGAAAGTTAATTGCCTCCTGTCTAAATTGGCCCTGTATGTATGCATGTGAGATAGAGGTCCTTAGATTGTATGCTACTCAAGGGCAGGAAATGCTGGAATGTGTACGTAAAAAGCACTGTGTAAATTGTTAGCTATATAGATACCTGTAATAAATAAATTATAAATTTCCCTTTATATAGTAAATTGCTGGGGTTAGGTGGAAAGCCAATCAGCATAGAGTAATGCACTACACTGCTGCATGTAATCTGTCTAGGCATACAGGTAACAAATGGCAGTCATTTGGCTATAGAAGTGATGCCACATAGCCACAAAAATAAAAACCTTTAAAGGTTTTGTGAGCTGTTTCATGTGACTGCCTTGGAATGGACCTAACCATTGACAATGGAATGGAAGAGATTTGAGGGCCAAGAAACATGTGAGAACCTTTGGATCTCCAGCAAAAAAATGAAGTGTGATGATAAGAGATATGCAAATGGCCAGAGTTCCGACACATGACAGCAGAGTGGGAATTATGCCTGGCTATTAATCATGAGTTTTTGACATCTGGCAATGTGTAAAAAAAGTTTTCATGCTGAAGATAGCAACATAGTTTTAGCTATGATAGCATTATGACTCCACATCATTATCTGACCTACAACCAGAGTAGGTATGTCTAAAATAAAATCTGTGGTACTAAGTTGTCCTTCCCTAAATTTGTCACTAGTATAGCTAGTATGCTTCCTCAGTGATCACTACCAATATGAACCATTGTTTGAATTCTAGGATCCCACAAAAAAAAAACAGTCACCAAAAATAAATTCTATGGTTTGACCTCTCACTGCTGTTGGCTGCTAAAGTAGCATCTGTTGTCTCCTGAACATTTTATCACCTTAGCTTGACATTTGTTGCAGTTAAACTATAAGAAGAAGATATGTAACCATTTTAAAAACATTAGAAACACTTGAATTATTGTAAACTCATTGACTAATTCTGTATAAAAAAAAGAGACAGCAAAGCACAATCCACAATGGTGGACAGATGTGTTAGACTACTGTGAGTGGGCATGATAAATAGGCATGATTTAACAACAATGGCTTATTCTTACTCAACATAGCAGAGAAGGACCACTTTATTGACATTTTTTTTAACCACAAAAGGTTTCATTCATTTTTTTTATAGCAGGATAGCCAACCCTTCCTGACATCATTGTTTGAGTTCACATGTTGTAAGACCTTGGTTCTCAACTGGTGGGTCGTGACCCAAAAGTGGGTCGCGACCCCGTGTTCAGTGGGTTGCCACATGCCTTCCACTTTTCTAGGTGAGAGGCTCCTCAGCCTCCCCCTAGCCCAGCACTGTCAGTTTGAGGTGGGATGTGATGAGGCTATGGCCATGAGGGAGCTCCATATATACATGCATTGCTTACAGATCCCTCACGTGTCCTGTAAAGGTGCCTGGACCGGAGTAACATCACATTCTGGCTCCCGGCACCTCTACAGGGCACACAAGGGAGCTGTACAAGCAATGCACATATGGATGGAGCTCCGTCACAGCACAGCAGCCCAAACTGAACCCCAGGCTGAGGATCCACTCCAGTTCTTGTAAGGTAGGGAGACTGGGTGGACCCACCACGTGTTCTGGTGTGGGAGGTGTGTTGTGTTTCCGTTCATTTGAATGGCACCCCAAACACACCTCCCACCCACAGTTCGATTGCCCGCACCTGAATGCATGGTACCGCAATGCTGTACATTCCATTGCAGTGCAATCTGGGGCACAACTTGATGACCAAGGACAAATGTGGGTCCTGAGGTTACACAGGTTGAGAACCACTGTTGTAAGAGACTGGCAGCCACTGCTCACATGTTCCAAAAAGCTGTCAGAAATAAATACACTACTCTCTAAGGCACAGAGTGAATGCAGCCCTCTATTTTCTGTGACAAGTGGCCACAGGACTGGCAGTGATACTGAATAAAACTGAAATGTCCAGAGCCAGTGCACCTAGAATATGGAGGATAAGCAGAACTGACTTCCTGCAATCCTTTTTTTGTGGGGGTCATGGCACAACCCTGTCTAACTGGCTGAAAGGCTGCCAAAGCACAAGGAAGGATAGAATTGCATACAAGGCAGCCAGGGTCATCTGGAACTGAGAGTGACATAACATCTAATATTTGTAGATATTTGCAAACTGGCAGGTTCCAGAGCAATTACTGAGTCACAGGAATCAGTTTTCTGATCTCTATGTAAGATACACGATTAAATAATAAATACATAGAAAACCATTAAGAGAAGATAAATATTTAAAACATTTCTTGGACAGGTTGAGAAAAAGTTTTAGACCTTATTTAAGCACCAGCTTTCCTGAAGTACAAGTTATGTGCTATAAATTGCTGATTTTCTGTTGTGCTCAAGAGGCACAACAGGAAATGAAGGGAAATATCTACAAAGTGAACAAAATCCCTTTCTTAGATAGTTGCCTAAGTTTCTGGAAGAGGGGTCCTCAGTGGAAGATTTACCCTCACTTTTTAATTTGCTGTTCATTGTAATTTTTTGGTTTGGTCACCAGGATAAATATAGTGGGTGAAGCTACCTAGTAGGTTTTCAGACAGCAATAAAATTTAACTACTCTGTCAAAAACTGAAAAAATGTTCTTAAAAGTTCTTCTTCATAAATGCATCTACCATTCCAGTCTCTCTTTACCAAGAACAAACATAATTATCAGCTTATGTCTGAACTGATGATAAAATTAAGTAGTGTATCAACAACTGCAGTCTTTATTAGTGGATTATTTAGTCTTTATTCTGTGGTTTGCCATCTGTATCTCAAGTGTGTATTTCTTGTTTTAAGAAAACATAGCTAATTCAAACATTGCTTTTTCAAAATGTAGAAAGGAAAAAAAAGTTGGGGTTGCAAACAGTGCTAAATTTTAATAGTGGCTTATGATATGTAAACATGTGGATTTTGCTATTTGTCATAACACAAGCTGTGTATCTGGCTATAAATAAACCCGAGTTAGGTTTCTTTCAAACAGATTTCCTGGTAAATAGAACAAAAATACAGCTGCTTTTATTTGTCATTCTTAAAAATACTTATAGTTCTTTTACTATTTGAAAATGCACAGACCAACCCATTTTTTATTTTTTTTAAATTAATTATTGACCATGAGATCTTTCCTTATAAAATTAGGCTTTCTTGTTTTCATTTGTAAAGAAGTATCATTGAAAAATAATAAATGTCCATGGTATAATTTTTGAATAAAAATGTTTTTTTATATAATATTTCATTCTTTTTTTCACAGTTTCCTTATAAAGGAGGTTTTAAAAAAGTGCCTTATGTAAGTCATCTTTTATGTAGGCATTGATAAGATCCTACATCAGTAAGCCAAATGTTAGCGTAAATTGTCTCTACCTCCCTCCTTTGCTGACTTCCTTCCAAATGTTTTCATGTTCTGCAGAGTTTACTTCTATGTATCTTTAGATAACTTTTAAGTATGTTGAGCTGCTGTCCATGCCAAGGGCATTCCTAGCAATACATTTGTACACCCCAGAGTCCACAGGCCTTGGATTCTGCACAACTAATGTTCCTTGGGGGTGGAGAAGCTCAGTCCCCATAGGCCGTCCTTTGCTAGCTGTTGTTAACAATGATAAGTCCGGAAGCTCCCAAGTTATCTCTGGCTTTGGTATTCCAATGGCCATACAATTTAGATGTACAGGTGAACCAGACTTTGTATGAATGTTTTGTGGGGCTTTACTTGTAATCCTTGGTGGATATGCTACAATCATAACAGGAACACTTATGGACGATTCACCAGCGTTATTTTTTACCTTACACAAATAGTTTCCTCGATCATGTATGTTTGATTCTTGAATGACCAGCGTGCCATTTTCTAGTAGCATGTGTTTCCCACTAAACTGTGGTCTGTCAATCACATATCCACTTGGGAGAGTCCAAATAACACTAGGCTTTGGTATTCCATCAGACAAACAGTGTAAAGAAAGCGTCTCCCCAAGGATACCCTTTATTGGTCCTCTTGGATGTGTCAGAATATTAGGTCTTTGACCCACCTCCAGAATGATAAGTTTTTCAATGTAACCTACTTTATTTCTTGCTGCACATCTATACTTGCCTGCATCATTTTTGCTTGGACTGTAAATAATTAAAGTTCCATTAGTTCCTGCATGATATTTTGAAAACATCTGTCCACTTATAAATCTAGAGCCATTTGGCAGAAGCCACATTATTTCTGGAGTCGGGTTTCCATCGGCCAAACAGTTAAGAATAGCCATTTTTCCTGGTTTGACAATTATCTTCTCATTGAATGGATTTTTAAACACTGGCCTCCTAAGCACTTCTGTGACTTCCAGCTGGACCACCATCGTACTTTCACCACCATCGTTGCGAGCAACACAAGTGAATTCTGCTGTATCAGAGGGTCTTACATTCCGAATTTCCAGTGTTCCGTTCTGGTGTACTATAATCCTGCTGCCATGATATGGTGCTGTTAGGTAAATATTATCAGGCATAATCCACATGATTTGAAGTGGTGGTGTCCCTTCAGCACTGCAGTGGATTAATTTTCTAGAGTGCTTTAAGGCTGAATCTTTAATTATTGTCCTATTTGTATATAAACCATTAATAACTGGTGGTGTTGAATGAACATCTAATTTGAGGAGCTTTGTGTCATCTCCTGCAGGATTACGTGCCACACACATGTACTCGCCTGCATCCAACAATTTCACATGGCTGATCATCAAAGATCCGTTTTCATGCAATAAATACCTGTCATGGGATGTGGCTATCATATCACTTGATGGAAGCAACCAGAATATTTTAGGTTTTGGTTCTCCATTGGCTTCGCAATCCAGAACCACACGGCCACTAGCTCTTGCCTCAAATTTTGTTCTGGTGTTTATTTTAATGTGTGGAGCAGCAGTGACCACAGTAATATGGATTTTCATTTCATCTCGTCCTAATGTGTTTTCAGCGTAACATGTGTAATCTCCCTCTTCAGCCATCCCTACTTTGTTGAGATACAAAGTACCATTGTCAAAGAGAACATATCTCCGTACCCTCCTGCCACTATCGTCAGCTTGAAGAACATTGTTTATTACTGTGCCATCAGGTAAAGTCCAGGATATTTCTGGAGATGGAAAACCTAAAGCCTTGCAATCTACTCTGAATTCTTTTCCATAAGGAACTTCCTTCATCAGCTGCTGTTTTTGTATTATCTTTGCAGGTTTCTTAGATATACTGACTTTCATAAGAATTACATCATCTCCCATTTTATTTCTTGCTACACACAAATAGTCACCGGCATCCTTTTCATTTACAGACTGAATGACGAGTGAGCCATTGGGGTGCACTTGAATGCGGCTTCCCATTCTGTAGATAAAAAGAAATAGCATTAAATCTGCAACAATACTTTTTTTTTTCATTAAATTATAAAAAACGGTTAAAACTGACCTATAACTAAATATCACATTTATATATGTATTTTAGAAATAGAAGGGGAGAATAAAGCAGTCTTCTACTTTACCCAAATGACTGTTTGGGTTATGTGCCTAGAACTTGTGTAGCAGCATTTTCTCAGAGAAAAAAGCCACTCTTAATTTATCCATCGCATGAATGTTAATATAGCTTATAACTATAATATAGTTTACATTTAAAGGAGAATTATGGGGGGAGTGAATTACACTCATCCCCATAATTAGAGCTGACGTCTGACACTGCAGCTGTCACACATCGGCTCTATAGATCGAGAACTGAGCGATCTATAGCACACTGCTGATCACTCAGTTCCCGATCATTTCCCTGCAAAGAGCGGTGACTGTCAGTCACCATTCCCCTCAGGGATTCCACCCTCCTCTCTCTCTCTGTCCCTCCAGCACTGACTGGAGGGATGGATGGGGAGGGGGCGGGCACAGCTGCCTCTACCCCTAGAGAGGCAGAGCCACCTGTCAGTCAGGCAGCATGGTGGATCCCGGCAATATTGTCAGGATCTTTCCCAGCTGCAGCCTGGCACTGCGCAGTCAGCATATAGTGGTTAATAGTCTCCTATATGTTGCGTTTTGGGTCACAGGAGTCAAACTAGAAAAAGATGGTAACCGCATAAATTTATAACCAGCCCTTGTAGCAGGGTGCACATGGGAAGGCTTACAGCAATACAAAATATTGTTGTAAGCCTTCCCATGTGCATCCTGCTACAAAGGCTGGTTATAAATTTATGCGGTTACCATCTTTTTCTAGTTTGACTATCTTGGATGTGGTGACGCATTGGGGATCCCAGCATGCATCTGTGGTTGCTGGGCCTCCAGTGCGTCCCTGCACCTTGTGCCTCATATATGTTGCGTTTTGGGTCACAGGAGTCAAACTAGAAAAAGATGGTAACCGCATACATTTATAACCAGCCCTTGTAGCAGGGTGCACATGGGAAGGCTTACAGCAATACAAAATATTGTTGTAAGCCTTCCCATGTGCATCCTGCTACAAAGGCTGGTTATAAATGTATGCGGTTACCATCTTTTTCTAGTTTGACTATCTTAGATGTGGTGACCCATTGGGGATCCCAGCATGCATCTGTGGTTGCTGGGCCTCCAGTGCGTCCCTGCACCTTGTGAGGAGGAGCAGGCTACCTCCTGGTACACCTGCATTTCATTTATCGACTGCATCAATATGCTCCCACTTGGAGACTCATATAAATAGAGTTAGGACCACACTTTGCAGAGGTACCTTGACGGTGACATATTTTTGGCCAAAGGTTTGTGCAACTTAAACCTCTGCTTCTAACGCATACTGTTAGACAGGGTGATTTGTTTTGTTGCAGGCCAACTGGCAGGTATGCTGGGGATCTTTTGTGTTTTGGGTCACAGGAGGACCCAAGAGAACTATGGCAAAAAAATGTTATGCCATAGTTCTCTTTTAAGTATAGGTTAATTTTATCTTAGAGCTTTTTTACAGGTGCAGATTAAAAACAAGTAGTGTAATCCTTATTTTAAACAACATAGGCTAGAGAAACTAGATCATTATCACTAAATTTAAAAGCAATGTGGTGTAAATAATTCAAGCATGGATTTACTCATCCTATCTTTGCTCACTCTTATTTCCACATGAAAGGGAAATTATTATTTTACTACTAATATGCTAAACATAATGGGAGAATTTATCAAAGCAATTGCAACAGTTTTTTCCTCTTAGATAAAAAAAAATTATGTGCAAATCTGTCTTTTAACATGTGCACCTATTTTCACCTGAGCTTGCACTACTTTTCCAATTGCACGTGTTTTGCGCCTGTTTTCATCTGCACTTGTTCTGCGGCTGCCTCAAACTGGGGCATCACCTAACAAAACAATCGCAGCTTAAGAAGTCCCCATGACCACTTCTTAAGGAAGCGACAGTTAAGCTTTTTGCCTGGAGTTATGAGTCTTCTTTCCTGGAGTCTATTTAACCTAATTTAAGAACAACTAGCAACATAAATCTGGCACAAATATATCCCATGCGGCCCACTGTGACCTCAAACACTCCCAATTGCTTTGATAAATTCCCCCCCCCCCCAAGTTATTTCAGTCTACAGTTGGTACCGGTAAAGCTAAAATATCCCAATGGGAGTATAGCAAGCATCCTCATCATCCAACTCTGAGTCTAAGGGTTCATGCTGCTAGTGACAGTCTTCATGTGTGTTTAGTTACAAGCTTCCTACCAGCTACTGGAGGCCACAAAGCACACTATGTGGGAATATCACACAAATGGAATTATGGTTTTCCTAATGCTTTACATCTCTACACACAATCACAAGATGCAAAGAGAGAGAGAGAGAGAGTAAGGGGTAATAACAGAGAGGAAATAGGGAAAAAACAAAGAGGTAAGTAAGGAGACAGGATTACAAGAGACCAGGGTTAAGAGAGAGAGATGCAACCTTTTAGTTTGCAGGATGGCCATGAGTGCATCAGATCTATTATGGGCCTAGGAAATCTCTATAATCATATATGACAGGTTTATACTTGGTCTTATATGAATGGTCACCTCTCAAGTACCTTACCAACAGTTAAATACTATGATTTTTCACATTTCAAACACAAAGAGGTCTGCAGAGAAAACTTCAGCTCCATTACTTCATGTTGAAAGGTGCATAGGAAAATTGCCTCCTCCGCAAAACAATTTTAATTTCAAATCTTTTAAGTCCTGTGGATTTGTGGAAACTTCTGAACACATGTTTGTGAACATTACAAAGAACTCTTTCATACAGGAACTCATTGCATGTTAAATTTATTTTACTTTAATTTTGAGCCAGGAAAAGGAAATAGAAGCTTTGAGAAGACAAGTAAATATTATAGCTGGGATAGAATGCAACATACTGTATGCCAGTAGTCTTAAAAAACAGAAACAAGGGAGATGACTTAAAATGAAAATAAATTAAATGGATTCATGTAACTGAAAGTCAAACACACAGAAAGTTTGCAAACCAAAACAAAGAGGTTTCAGATTCTATGTTAGAATTTGAATTAGGGTTTTAGTTAAACCTAATCAGGTAAAGAGTCGTATATAGTAAATGTAGTCTTTAGACCAGTGCTTCTCATACCTGGTGTTCAGGTACTCCGAATGGCCCAGGTGCAGTAGAAGTGCAGATGTAATGCGAGGTAACATTTTAATAGCTTGTCCATGTTGCATTTTTTGTTTTTTGGCAGGTGGTTCCAACAATTGTCAAGTTGCAAAAACTGTTCTGGAAGTTTGTACTAAGCCAAGTAGCTCAGTTCACGCTATATGGCTTAGTGATGGGGCAATATGAAGCAGCTTCCTGACATTGGCTAAGTATCGGTACACTTAGCATTTCTTACTAAAGGGGAAGCATTGCATGTACAGGTCACATTACTATGACTGTTGTACTATCAGAGGTTTATATTGGTGCTAATAATGAATCCATTCACATGCAGACTGCGATAGATCACACCAGGAGGAATCAATTATATTGGGGTTTGGTCACAGTTGTTACTAAATAGTAAGTTTTTCGGGTTACCTTCCGTTCGCATCTGTTGACATCTGTTGAAAATTATGTGAAAAGTGATGCTAACAGACTTGGTTTGAATGGGGCCTAAATCCTAAACAATCAAACTAAATAGATAAAGCAAACTCCAAATTCAGATCATTTTCATAAAGCATGAAATAGAATGGGGTTTTCTTTAAAGCAGAAACATTTCCTGTAAAATGAAACAGTTTAGGTTGCATATCTGTTATGCATAGTGTTTTACAGACAAGGGGTAATGGCTATCAGGTTATGGGAATGATTCTAAAGCATACACTGCTTAAACACATAGAATAAAAGCCCTCTTGTATGGATAGCGATATGCCATATGCGGTCTATTTTTTACATGTTCTTGTGGGTTTCATTATGCTGACTACAACAGAGAGTGTTTGAAAACATGATTTAGCCCACGTTAGTCTGGGGGAAAAAAACCCAAACATGACAGCTGTGTTGGATAACATTTCCCAATCACACGAATGTCAAATTCTAATTTAAAGTAATTAAACTTGAAAATGTTTGTAGAACTTTCATAGACTATAACTACTATACTTTAACTATTTACTAAAAAAATGGATATTGGTTTTTTTTTGCAGCTCCTAATCCTAGTTAAGAGTTATAGCTCACACGCAGCAGAGACCTACCTAATGCCAGCAGTGACACCTACTCCACTGTGCACATATTACAATCAACTCCTGCGTTGTGTAAATCTTTTGCCCACCAATGACTCTGATCAAACTGGTACTTCTGTTATGGGTGCACATATAATAAATTGCAGACTCTTTTCCTAGAAGCCTGCACTGAGTTACAAGTCACATTTTAGACATTCTAAGGCTATCCCTTGCCTAAAAGAATGCAGACACTGCATTTCTTACCCTAACACTGATATTGCACTTTGTGATGATAATTAAGGCTGACATTTAGAAATCAGTTTGAGAAAGAACATGTTGAAACCGACCGCAGGAATTAGTCTGCAAAAATGTCTGATAAAACCCTTGTGATTTATATAATTAATCTTTACAGGAACATTTTATTTTCCAAGTAAGTGCTGAATTCAGCAAATATGGGTATAAATGTATACTACTTGTATGCAAGTGAACTTGCCAGTGGTTTTGTTTGTGTGTGTTTTACCTGAAAAATATTAAAAACCCCCTCTTACATTGGTAATCATTAGGAAAAAGGCCACTTTGCATTAGCAGTCAGTGAGAGAGGAACCCTGTACAATAGTGGTCAGTGAGAGAAGAACTCCTTACATTGGAGGTCAGTGTAAAAAGGTCCACCTCTAACTGATGGTCAGTGGTAGAGGGACCTCTTAAATTAATGGCCAGTGATAGAGGGGCTACCTTACTCTGGTGGGAGAAAAGCCCCCCCTACATTGCTGGTCAGTTGGAGAAGGACTCCTTTACACTACTGCCAGTAAGAAAAGGGACCCCTCACATTGGCAGCCAGTGTGAAAAAGGCCCCCATAGCTTGGTGACCAGTGAGAGAAGGAGCCCTTTTTGGTGGTCAGTAGGAAAAGGTCCCTTGCACATTGGTAGTCACTGGCAGAAAGGCTACTCTACATTATTGGTCATTGGAAGAGGGATCCCTTACAATGGTGGTCTGTGGGAAGAATGCTCCTTTACAGATAGTTAAAAATATCATTGGTGTCAGTAGTTGTCTCAGTCCTGTAGTGGTCAGTGCTCACCGCTCTCCTTCTCCACTCCAGCTATGGAATGTCGCTAAAAATCCTCACGTCTAATGCAAGTCAAAGACCTGCATTAGATGTGATGAACGGTCCTTACACTGCCGGTGCTCAGGGAAGAAGAGGCTGTGAGGATTGGTCTATCTGGCTGGCAGAACTGAGGATCTGAATACATCTACTTTGCGTGAGCCCCCTAGACAAAACAAGCACCTTACCCTTGCAGTGTGGGGGTAGCACCACTGCAAGGGACAGTTTTTTTTAAATTCCCGGAGTTCTTCTTTAAAGTGGGTGTTTGTCGTTGTACCTTTCAGTAAGCATTGTCTGAGACACCAGGTTCCCCCTTCTTCCTATAATTTTATATGTCAAGGACATCAGCATGGTATAACAGTTGTTAATCTAAACCAATTCCACTAGAAAACATGAATTTCATCACTATTTTATGCATTAAAGGATTATGAACAGGATTAGTAATTGTTTTACTAGTCCTAACAAGGCTTATAACTTTCTGACAATGTAACTGAGCAATGAGAATGTATTTCTCCTGCTGATTATAAGGAAAATACACAGCCAATACAAATTCAAGGAAAAAACACTTCTTTGCCTCTGGCTCCCATGGGCACATGTCTGCTTTACCTAATACTTATTCTAGCGCTGAAAGACACAAATAAATATTAAATACTAATAATAAAGAATAAAACTTTTATCCTACCTGTGCCACTGATCTACCACTGCTTTTGATGGCAGTCTCCATATTATTCTTGGTGCTGGCTCCCCAGCTGCTGTACAGTTTAGCACCAGTTTGTCACCATAATTCATTTCTGTGGACTTTGGAGATGCATGGACAATCCTTGGAATCGTCTCAGTTTGCTCCACCCGGAGAGTGACCACTCTTCTCTCAGATCCAGTAGAGCTTGTCGCTATACACTCATAATTTCCATTGTCTGTGGGTTCTGCATTTCTTATGTAGAGTGTTCCGTTAGAGAAAAGGAACAGTTTTGCATTAACATACTGTAATGGTTTCACTTTTGTGCCATCAAACGCTACCCAGTGAACACTAGGCTGAGGATTTCCTTTTGCAGAGCAATGTAATTTCACATTCTCTCGTGAAAGTGCTAGAACTGTCTGTCTTTTATCTTCCAGAATAGCAGGTGGAGCAGCAATCACTTGAATCTTTACTGTAAAGGTATCTGCCCCAGCTATGTTAGTAGCTAAGCACTTATAAATCCCTCGGTCATAAATGGACACTTCTTTAATGATGAGAGTCCCATCCAACTGTACAAAAGCTTTGTGATTATGGGCAGACTTCTCAGACGCAATGGTTTCATTAGCCAGTATCCAAGTAATTGTGGGGAAAGGTCTTCCTTCTGCCTGGCATTTCAAGTTAATAGAGCTTCCAGAGTGCACTGTGATCTCTCTTGATTTGCCTTGTAGAATCCTGGGAGGATATGTTATAACAGACAGTGAGATGAGTAGCCGATCTGAGCCATACTGATTTGTAGCTACACAAAGATATTGACCTCGATCTTGGATGCCCGCACTAGAAATAGACAATGTTCCATTTGGATAAACTTCCATTCTGTTTCCACGTCTTGTCTTTGACATAAAGGTACCTTTTAAAAATAAAATGTAAAAAAAGTGGAATTTTTTTCTTTTCTTTTTGGATAACGCGGGTAAGAGTTAGATACTCTTCAATGCTTTAACTAGTAGTATTTAATGAAAATCAACTGGATTTGTTCTGTCATTTTATAATTAATGTAATTCATTTTGTAATTTTGTTTCTCGTTTTATAGCTTATCCAAGCCACCTCTTCAGTTCTAATGAGTGTCAGGAAATAGATACAATTCACCATCTTCCCCATGCTAGAACTGGCATGCGTAACTCTGTTTAGTAGTGTTTAACAGTTTACCAAACTTTGAGGTGATCACGTCTGTGTACACAACATTATATAGAACACTAAAATTTGTTATTTTTCTTTTTTTCTGGTTTACATACATTTCCAGAAAATGATGGCAACAATAAGCAAATTACACAGATTCTAACTTCTTACCGCTCTACTACAATTTTTTTTTTTATTGCAGTCTGTGTCTCCATTGCAGAGATTCTTCTCATTTTCTGTACCAGTGACATTACAAGAAGTAAGGTGTCATTTTCTAATTGGGGCACATACATAGGTTTTATAATTTTTTTTAGTTATCCTAAATAAAACATAGCTTTGTCTGGATGTGGACTTCAATTCAAAATGTGTTTTTTAATATTTTTTAATTGTATTAACCTCCCTGGCGGTATGATTATGGAGGATTTTAGCATGCCAAAGCGGTACATTTTTTCAATTTTTCATGGCAATTTGTTGTTTTATATTGTAGGCCTGTAATTCTTAGTAAATCTTAGTCCAGTAGACATTGCGGGTATGATAAAGTTTGAAACACGAAATCATAAATTATAATATAATAAATAATTATAAATAATTATAAGAACTTATAATATAATAAATAAACGGCCCTGCCCTCCGCTGTGACGCCTTAAAACGAAACTGAAAGCCGAATGCCGGCATCGACCGGGCGAACACAGCAGAGGACACCGCGGGCTTGCAGGGACAAGGTAAGTAACACTTTTGCGCAATCCCGAGTGTGGCTCGGGGTTACCGCTCTTGGTACTGAAAATGAACCCCGAGCCACACTCGGGATTACCGCCAGGGAGGTTAAAAACAATGCTAGTGGGTAGTTTGAAGTAAAGTACAAATACGAGTTGGGGCTGCAAATTCTCTACCTCACTATACATTTTGTATGGCATCTGCAAGCTGCAAGTCACAAATACAGCCTATATACACTAAAGACACATTTTAACACATACTGTACATATTGCTGTATGCTGAAGGTTCTCCTATCCATCATAGAATGATTGATTGTTTTAACTACACAACAGAAAGATCATTTTACTTTGCCAAACAAAGATTTGCAGGGTTATTCACTAAAGGGTGAAGAGTTTGGAGAAGGCAGGAGAAGTGAACAATCTAGGACCACATAGCTGAACTGGAAAGTTAGCTGAATTGGAGAATTTTTCCAAATCAGCTATTTTGGCCTAGATTGTTCACTTCTCCTGCCTTCTCCAAACTCTTCACCCTTATGTGAATAGCCCTGTTGGTCTCCTCAAAAACAGAACTAGGTGACTGTTGCAAGTCTGCATGTATACATGTAATAATGAGATTTGTCTCTCCATAGCTAGCCTTAGTATAATATGTTTCTGTTTTGTGGTCTGTTCTCTTTTGTTTTTCTGATTCATTTTCAGGTCTTGGAAGCCTATCCCAAAATACATAATTTTCTGGAAAATTATATAAACCAGAAAGAAAAAAAAGAACAATTTTTTCTTTCCTATAAACTGCTGTACACATACACATGATCACCTCAAAGTTTGGTAAACTGTGGAACACTGCTTAACAAGGTTAAGCATGCCAGCATTCAGCGTGAGAAAGACACTGAATTGTATCTATGTGATATTTTTTGGGCATATTATTCCAAAATAGAAAAATATACTCTATGTATGAACTACTTGAAGACCAGAATGTTAAACCCTCTTCCTGTCTGGGCCATTTTTCCGTATTTAGCGCTGAGGAACTTTGACATTTATTCAATCATGCAACGCCATTCCAAAACAAATTTTATCTAATTTTTTGGGATAGATAGAGCTTTCTTTTGGGGGTATTTAATCACCACTGGACTTTTTTTTTTTACTATATAAAGAAAAAAGTACCAGAATTAAAAAAAAAACTTTTCTCTATTTTATGTTATGAAACAATTATTATTAGCCTATTTTTTGGTACAATATAAAAGATGGAGTCACATCAGGTAAATAGACACCAAACATGTCTATTATGGATGCACCGATACTGATACTGGTATCTGTGCCAATACTGAGCATTTGGGAGAGTATTTGTACTCGCCCAAATGCTCCGATACTTACCCCAATACCGGAACTGCTGGTCAGAGGGAGATTCCGTCTGACTGGCAGTGCTGTGAGGGAGCATCGGAGCTGGCTTTCCGGCCAATCAGGAATCCGGCTTCACGCTGCCTAGCAGCACTGCAAAGCTTCCTTTCTTCCTGACCAACAGGAAGCTGGGTGGCAGGTCGTGACCGCCCTCCCAGCTTCCTGATTGGCTAGGAAGCCGGCTTCACACTGCCTAGCGACACTGAACAGTGTTGCGAGGGAGCATGAAGCCTATGTGTTTTCAGTGGAACACTGGCTTCCCAGGCAATCAGGAAGCCGGGCCCACGCTACACATGACAATATCGGTACTCTGTATCAGTGAGTACCAAGAAAAAAATATCAGTACAATTACTAGATACTGAAAGACCAGTATCTGTGCAACCCTAATGTCAAGCTTTAAAATTGCATGCACCTGTGAAATCACAAAAAAACTACCATACCTAGAATTTCCCATAGGCAACGCTTTAAAAGTTTTTACTGCTTATTAATTTAGTGTTAACAGTGATTGATGGCCCTAGAATTATTGCTTGCACTCTGACATGCTGGTATGTAACATGGGTGGCTCAATTGTAATTTTTTGCCAGTAGGTGCACTTGACATGTGTCCCTAACAAGTCCCCTATGTGATAGCACAGATACGGTAACAGGTCCTCTTTATGGAGACATCGGGATTTATTTGACACCTAATGTCACCTATGGACCCCCAAAGAAGCTGATGAAGCACAGATCGTGCTTCACTAGCTTATTCTTTGGCTACAGCAACTGGCGAAATGACACACTGAAACTGGAGTAATCCCATTACTTCTGCTTTCAGTGATTGGAGGAGAGTTCAGCTTATGGAAGTGTGCTGATCTCCCTCTGATCAATGTACACAGACCCACAACACCGGTCCAGGCCCACATGGGGGACAGCAGAGCCTGGGATAGCTGGTGGAGGGGCTCATGCAAGCAGGAGAAAAACAGTTCAAGACAGTAGTATTCTGAATATTAGATCACAAGCATGGTTAAATGCATCTATGAAAGTATAAATAGACTATGAATATGAAAGTAATTAAAATGCCTTACCTGAAGACACTTTAGTCCACAGAATGGTCGGTGTTGGATTTCCAGTAGCTTCACATGGAATAAAAGCATCCGAGTTTGCAAGGACCGTGAAGCTTGCAGCTTTACCTCCTTTAATGCGAGGCTTAGAGTAGTCAATATTTGATGGACCTTCTTCCATCTTGTTTAAGGTTACTTTCTTATCTGTTTCTTCTGCTGGAGTGGAGGATGGGTTAAACTGCACTGTTTTCTTCAAAACACCTGGAAAATGTGCTACTATATGTACTTTCCTCTCTGATGTTTTTGGATCAGGTCTGATCTCAACATTAGATGTAGCCACCTTCTTTCCAGATATGACTGGTAGTTGGGTTGTGGCTGGACCTAATATGGGTGATGGGTCAGTCAAACTGCTAATGATTTTAGCTGTCACAGAGAGTGGAAAAGCAGCATCTTTATGGCTTGGTGACGGTGTCTTTGATTTTGGGGTAGTAACAGTTGTATGTTTAAAATTATTCTTATTTAATGCTTGGACAGAAGTGGCAACAAAATGATTATCAGATGGGTCTATATGTTGAGTTTTTAATGTATCTGTGTCATTTAGCTTTGAAGATTGTTGCAGGGATAGTCTTGGAGCTTTTGAAATACTGGTCAAGAAATATCTATTTACAGAGGTTAGAGGATGTTGTTGTAACATTGTTGTTGTATGTGCTACAGTAACACTACCAGATGACAAGTCTGAAGGTGGAGTTATTTTAAAAGATTCGGTTGTTTCTTCTTGAGACTTAGATGGCTTGTTTGAATTTGTTGATGACTTCCACTGATTGTGTTCTGGCAAGATGTTATAAGGGCGCTTTTTCCGTTGTTTTTTCCGTTGCAGAAATCTGAGTCTTGTACTATCAACAAAGGCAGATGTTACTGGGGTCATTGTAACAAACATATTACCTTTGGGAGGAGTAAAACTAACATCTTTGAAAGTGGTATCTGAAAAAGAACTGGTAGAAGAAGTCTTGGACCATGCATCACTGGAACTGGTTGTTGCAATGACTATTTTTGCACCACCTAACTTGGCTTGAGAAGCAACAGTGGCAGCAATTTCTGGGCTGGTTGAATCAACTTCAGAAGGCACAGACCCGGCACTAGAATGATAAAGTGCAGTTGTTAATGGTGTGGGGATGGTTGGCACAGAATCAGTTGTTGTTTTGGAGCTGGTTGAGAAAACTGAGATGGGTTTTGTATGACTTATAAAAAGATTGATTATATCTGTATTGATAGCAGTTGAATGAACTGTACTTGGTGTTACTAAGCCAGGATCATCTTCAGGATTGATTACAGAGTTTGTAGCTTTCAAAATTTTTGGATGCAGTGCTGTGTTGCTCTCTGTTGTTATCAAAGATGCACTGGGTGATATGTTTGAATTACTCACAACTGACTGAGTTGATAAGAGAGCTGTAGAGGTTTTGGGAAGTAGGATGTCAGATGTTGGAGAGTGGGTACTATTTACAGATTTTACATGAATATTATTTCTCAGCTTCTTCAATATCTCACTTTGACTTATCTGGCTATTACCAAATAATCTTTGCCAAGGAATTTTCCTTCTGATTACTTTGGAGGTAACTCTAGGCCTAGTAGTGACTTGGGCAGAAGTGGTTTTAAGCAGGATTTTATTTGTTGTTATAGGCAATCTTGTTGGAATATCTGTAGTTATAGTTTGTGTATGTGTTATCGCTCTGTTTGTACCAGCAGGAGTCAACATACCCAAAGTATTGTCCTTGAGAATTAATTGAGTAACAGAATTTGAAGACATAATGTCGACCTTAATTGGATCACTATGTTTTAATCCTGAACTTGCTTGAGTGGTGGCTTCTTTACCATGTATGGTCTCTAAAGCTCTTATGGCAGACTGTTCAGTTGGTGAGGAAGCATATGTACTTGAAGTTTCAGAGCTGTATGGCAGCTGATTTTGTTCACTAGTATCAGAAACTGTTGTGTGAGGTGTTGTAGCTGCAGATAGCTCTCTTAAACTTGATTTGCCAAACTTCCAAAACTGATGGATTTTAATGTTTGGATAACGACCTGGTCTCACAATGCGTCTCCTTCCAGGCATCCTCCTACGACCATAACGCCTTAGAGTGGGCACCAAAGGTGTAACATCTTTCACTATCTGAATCTGTTGATGAGAAATGATAGTGGAGCCAGCTGACAGGCTTGGAGAAATTATTTTTTGAGTGCTGTGAATGTAAATAGGCCCAATATCTGTTTGGGAAAGGAATACTTTTGTGCTTGACTTTGTTGAAGAATCAATGCTAAAAACATTTTCCTTATTTAACTCGCCTTTTCTTTCATGGAAGAGTGGAATCATTGTGCTGGGAACAGTTGTTTGAGTTGAATGTGTGTCTTCAGAATTAGTTGAATATTCATATCCCTGCTTAGATGCAGAATTATCCTTTTTAGCAGTGGAAGTGATGATTTGCTGTGCACTATTACTTTTAGTGTTTGGTGTGACAACTGACAAATGGAAATTGGAAATGTCATGTTTAGGAGTAGTTAGTATATTTGTGACGGTTGATCTGTGCATAATAGGTGGTTCTGTAACTACTTCTATGTCATTTGCACCTAGTGGACTTTGAGTAGTACTTATGGATAGATAAGAGGGTTTGTGAATGCTTTTGGATGTACCAAGATTACTTTGAAAAGTTCTAGGCAAATAACTGGATGTGGTTGTTTCATCTCTGATAGCATTGTGAGTTGGGAGGGCATAAGATGCTGTAGCTGGGTTAGTAACAGTATCTGGAGATGTTGTAGTAACATAACTTATTTCCGGTGGTGGGCTGGTAACAACATTTTCTGAAAGGTTATTCAAATAGCCAGCTGTAGTAATAAAGCTGCTGGTATCATCATGAATTGTAACTTGTAGTTCATTGTTTTCAATGGTTGGTTTTAATAAATTATTCTGAGTTGTAGTATGGAAGTCACTGTATGCAATTGGTGATGCAGTTATAGTTTCCAGTTCTGTAGTATAAGGAACACCAACAGTAGTAGGTGGTCTAGTTATCATTATTTTTGGAGTTCCAGTCAATGAGTAGAATGCAGTAGTAGTGTCTTGTCTTTCCTCTTCAAGATTCCCAACATTAGTAAGAGGAAAATATTTTGACAAAGGGCTGGTTGTGACTTCACTTGATGACATGTGCGGAATACCTGTAGTAAGTTCTGGTGCAGGCATTGCTGCCACTGATGTGCTATTTAAAATGCTTAGAGTGGTCATCTGCTCATTGTTATAACTGACTGTAGTATGTGTAAATGTATCAATATATTGAGGACTCCCAGTAATTTTGGATACATATTTTGGCACAGTAGAATCTCCTGAAGTGACTGTGATTTCCCTGTTTATTGTAGTTGTGTCTAAATTGTCTTGGCTAATTTTTGCATGTTTTGATGTTGATGATATATCCTCTGCAACCCATGAAGATATGTATGATTGTGTATCTGTAGAAGCTGGAGTTGTGCTGTACTGTGCTGTGTGTTTTTCTGACACTATCAAAAACTTTTCAGCCACTGGAAGGAATTCTTCACCAGATGCTTCATCCGGCTCACCAGATACAATTTCAGTGATATTTTCTTCTTTGGCTGAACCTTCTGTGACTTGCACTGCTGTTTGACTGTTCGATGAACTCTTTTTTGTCTTTTCTAAGATCTCTGTCCAGCGCTGAGGATCGATTTTCCTTGTGTTCTGCGCAAATTGCCTCCGGTATCCCCTGAAGCGTTGGTTAATTCTATTTCTTCTAAAATTCTCTTTATTTAAATGTCCTTGGCCATCGGGTCTGGTATTGATCCGTCTGGTTGGGAATTTTCGGTGTGTTATGACTTTCCCTGTGGTCAAGTAGTTATTTTCTTTATTTTCATCAGTGCCTGATCCTTCATCAATTTCCTTTTCAGTTTGGTCTAACTGTATCTTTTTATTAAAAAAAACAAGTTTCCTCTCTTTAACAAACACTTTATAGGTCAGAATGTCAAGACCGTACTGATTAGCTGCTATACATCTAAAATGTCCTCTTTCCCTTTCAGTAATATCTTGAATTTTTAGTGTCCCATTGGGGAAAATAACTTTGTTCCCTGATGTCTCCTGTAGTATTGAATGGTCAGGTAATATCCAGTTCACTGATGCATCAGGAACTCCATTTGATCCACAGGGTAGATACAGCATGCCCCCATTAATGATTGAAAGCTCAGCCCCATTGACAGCTTCTTCTTCCACATCAGCACTTACAACTGTAATTCTGAATGTAAGCACATCTGCATCCACATAGTTTGTTGCTATACAGTGATAAGCACCTGTGTCAAAACTGTCAGCAGCTTTTAAGGTAAATTTTCCATCTCTTGTTATTGTAATCCTACCCTCTTCACTAAAATATGGAGCTCTGATCTTGCTTCCATCGGGAAGAACCCATTCAATGTGTGGTGCAGGTTCACCATCAACTTGACAGTTCATCTCCACAGTTCCTCCAATCATTGCCGCATACTCTGTTTTTGTCTGGTTGCTTTTTTTAATCATGACCCAGCTGTTTTTCACAGAATTGTGAACAGAGTTTGGAATAGTTACATAGACATCAGTTAAGTACTGAATATGGAGCATGCTGAGGGTCGTAGTTGACCTGTCTAATTGTAACGTCACTAAGTCTTGCATTAACCAGTTTGGCTCTGCCCGAAGGTCTGCCTCAATATCTGTGAACACATCATCACCAGAGCCCACTTGTTTGTATTTATAACTAATGAAAGGAGTCTTTGTAAGCAAGAGGTCTCTCTTAAGTTTCATTGGGGAGTCACTGTACATTGCTAATATCCCCCATAGCTTTTGTATATGATCATAGTCTATACTGCACACCAAAAAGGAAGAAAATGTAGTCCTCATTATTGTATAGCCCTCCTTTCTTTCCAATGTTATCTGAGACATCTTAGTTGGTCTTTGAACAGTGCAGGCCAGGTTTGCCTCATTTCCAGATTGGTCTGTCATATTTAGAACCAGAGATCCAATTGGTGCCACAAAATCTTTGGCTGATATAACAGTAAAGCTCCCTTCCTCTGGAGTGGTCACATTTTTTAGCTTGTAAATGTTATCTATAAGCGGCTTTGCACAACTTAGATCTTGAGATGATATTTCGTTTAAAGATTTACCCTTATTTTTTTGAGGAATAGAACAAAGTGGGCACTGATGACCTGAACGATCCTTCTTGCATTTGATCAAATCTGTTGAAACATAAATGAAAAGAAAGGTTTTATAATGTTACATTACTTTTTTTATGATTAGTGTTGTCCCCTCCAGGCTGCTCAAGCACTTTATAAATCCCCCAGTAGGCTGAACACTGTAATTACTCACAAGATGTAGAAACTGTCCATCTTTTTCACTGAAAGTAAGATTCCCTTTCATCTGGCCCTTTATAGCATGAATATTAGCAAATGTGTGTTTGTGTAATTTGTATATGATTACAGAACTATTCTAAGTCCCTTAAAAGGACATTAAACACACAATGCTATAACTTTCATGGATATTTAAAAAAAAAACGTTGAAGAGATTATAAGAGCATTTTTCAAATGGTCCAGCATGGAACAATATTTTCCAGAACATAACTGACATCTTGTCCAGTAATCCCAGTGAGCAAAACTGCCAACCAGGGTTGCCAAATATAATTAAAGAAATAGTCAAACACCGGCTCAAAACTTGCAAGACAAGTCAATATGTCTCTTACAACATATATAACACTATGTAAAATAATTTCTATTTACCATTTCTAGATTTTGCAGATAAAAATGAGCCCACCTGTAAATGCTACTGCCAGAAGTAGACTGCACAGCAAAGTTATGTCTCTGTACAGGTGTGGCTACTTTTACGCATATCTTTGTAGATGTTAAAAGCAGCTGTTTCTTATCTGTTTTTTTCCTTTCAGTATTAAGACTTTGCACAGAAAGGGAGACTAATGTCCCATGTATATTAACAACACATGTCTAATGCACATCTAGAGTGGAAAAGGAAATACCTTTGGATTGCTGTCCCCATTCCGCGAGCCACAGCAGGTTACAATCACATGACCATGGGTTGCCATGAAGATAAAGCCCTTCTAATTCATTCAAGTACAAGAACATTTCCTTAGGCAGTGTAGTTAATTGATTGTCAGAGAGATAGATATGCTTTATAGACGATGCTTTAAATATCTGGATGTAGTGTAACGTAACAAAGGTGTCTGTGTGCAGCTGCCGTAGTACATTTCCCTCCAGGTGAACCAGTTTCAGAGAAGTGAGGCCATAAAAGGATTCTGGGGCCAAAAATTCCAGTTTGTTATGATCCATATGTAATCTGACCAGACTCTTCAGGCCACGGAATGTGTTTCTGTGTAGTTTTTTCACTTTATTATAACTCATTTTCAATACCTACACAGCAAGGAAAAGAGACATAACTGAATCTTGTGCATTGGTTTATCACAGCCCATGAATTAGCTACAACTCCATTCTAATAGAAATGTGAAATCACTACAAACAACAAATAAAAACATACAGTGGGTGAATCATTTATTTTCAGCCAAGGTCATTTTACCATATGTTAAAGGCCAACACCAGCCAAAAGTTTTTTTTTTTTTTTTGAAGGACTGGGGAAAAGTAAATACTTCTGTGAAGCTGTTATTGATTTAGTTTATCCTTTTAGGGAGATTCCACATCACTTCCTGTCCCTTTGACAGCAAGACAAGAAATAATGAGAGGAAAACACTGGAGATAATACAAGAGGTCCTAACCTATTTTATTGAAATGTGTCTATTCACTGGAGAGATTTCTCATCAACTGAAAATAAATCTCTCCAATGGGGTCACAGAATGTAGTAAATACATGTCAGTGACTTTTGGTTGGAATTAAACATCCAAAGGGAGGATTTTGTGGCTAGTCAACATATTTTTATTTTTAATAGAATATCAAAAATATGGAGGAGCAAAATCGAAAATGAATAAAAATATTTACGGTTAAACACAGCAATAAAAGCTCAAAATTTGCTATACTTTGTGTTAAATGTACTGCCTGAGACAGTACTGAACAGTCCCATCCCTAATGCTATACCCCACCCACCCTCTATTCAAGCTGGTCTTACCAGTAGGATATCCAAAAAAAGCTGCCATAGCTTACCTTCTTCTGAAAAAGGCAAGTTGCCTGGCTATCATATGCATCCACGGACAATAGTATTTTAAGACAATGACCCAAAACAAGTATGCAAATGATAATTTCTTATTTAAAGTATATGTAAATCTAATTACTAAAATCTCTTATAATCTTTAACATGCCAATGTAATTTAAAAATAAATTTTTAATATTTTTACATTTGCAACTTTCATTACAATCAGTAACAATGCTCTGTCCCTGTCTCCTGAATGCGTTGTTACCCAGTCACAAGGGCTTTTAATGGAGACTATAAGTGGCAGTTTCAACACACATTATGCAGGCCTGGTCCACTGTTTTGCAGGAGATCATCAACAATGAAATGCAGCAAAGAATGAAAAAAAAGGTGAAAACAAGTATTTTAGTTTAAAATAAATATGGCAACTATTTATGATGCGCAGTGCTTTAACAAAAAAATAAAACATACCTTTCATTTACCTTAACTCTGATTTATCAATCCATGCTTTTTTGAGTCTCTAATTTAGAAATCATTTAAGCCAGCAAAGGCGAGGAAATAAGAGAATTGCTGCCATCTAGAAAATGCCAGATCATGTAGATGGATTATTGTGTGTTTTTCTTTCATTTAATTCCCATGATAACTCTGTACCTTTTACTGCCTTAAATTTCTATTCACAAATTGGTTCCTGCCAATCTAAATGCATGCCACCCCTAGAGATAATGATAGACAGCATTGGTTCAATGAGAGATAAAGAGAATTCATGAGCCGTTCCTCTGGCTCCTAGGGCTATGTAGTTGCTACTACCGCTACCATCCCAGATTCCTGGAAGTGCTTAGAAATACACTGAGATCTAAAATATTAAACTTAAAATAAAGTTGATCATAATAACCTTTGTGAAGGTATCACTCTTTCTGTTCTTTCTGTGTGAGCACATCCTTCAGAAATACAGCCACATGCTTCAATCTAGTTTATGCAGTACAGACTTATTTGGAAATTGCTGCTAAATTAAATCTGTTATTTTCTTTTAAACATTAATTTTTTACCTGTAATGAAGATAATTCACTAAAAGCATTTTCATGGATTGTTTGTATCTCGTTGCTATGTAACATCAGCAGCTCCAGCTTTTGTAAGCCAGAGAAGTCAGCTTCAGTTAGCATGCTTATGCTGTTGTACCTGCAGGCAGAAAATATGTGAAGGTCACAGATACAGAATGTGATTCATGCAACAGATTTAGAAAACATGTAGAACACTGGTGATTATGCTTCTACACATGAAAACTTTTATACTTGAATACAGTACATAAGGAATAAATGTATTTTTTCCTCCAGTGGGATGAGATCATTTATGAAAGATACCTTGGAGAGGTCTCCTGCCTAGAAAATCACTTCATAGCATTTCTTGGAAATCTCATGCACTACAATTTTACTACAGTTCATTTTATTATTTGGACTTCAGCCTCCAACTTTTTATGGCTCCACAGCTTATATCCTGTCCAAGATTACTGATCTAGCTACACGCTATAGACATGTATTGCTTCAATTGGTTGTACAACCATTAGCTGTAACCTATGACAACCAATGTATCTTTTAGCGTATGCAAACTATGCAATGTTGATTTCAAGGAGTTAAAGCCAGAGGTCCATCTACAATACCCTCTTCTCTAATGCAGACCTGAAACTGGGCCCCATCACATCTCATGCCAAAGCCTTTGACTTAAGAGCATTTATACATAGAATTGGATTAGAGTTGATCATTTTTCAATCCTTAAAGCCTACTAAAAGCTTAAATATGAGATACATGAACTAGGGTTTGTGAAGGATAGAGATATGATGCTTCATTTTGTACAGAATTGGCATCATTTAATAAACATGTTTTGCTCTGCCTGCAAAATGTTCAGGAAAATGTAAAACCCTATTATTTTTTGCACATTGCTAGAAGACTGCTGTGACTATAACGTTTTTAAACCAATAAAGAAAAAATGTGCTGCTTTAATTTATCAACCCCAGGGAATCATGAGGCCATGTCTCCCCCTCTGTACCTCCTGTAGACAACGACTAGGTTAATAGGTATCAATACTCTAAGACCTATGGAGCTCTTGTTTACAACCTGGAGAGCAGGAAAGGTGCATGTGGTTTGCCACTAAAATGACTCATGCAATCTGATTGGTTGCAATGGCTAGAACGTTACCATCAGTGTTTTTAAAGAATGCTGTGTAAAATCAATTTTAAAAGAAATCTTTAGTAGTAAGCTTTATAGTGCTGCAAATGGCAATTATGTCCTGCAGTACAAGGATGCTTGGTAGGGATTTATATGGTTGTACAAACTTGTTCCATCCTTTCCAACACTGTTATATAACACTGCCATTGGGACTGATGTATTCTTATTAAACATATCTGAAAGAAAATAATCTGTGTTTCCTTAGCAGTAACTCATGTGATGAACAAATGACCACTACAATCTGATTGGTTGGCCAAAGTATTTAAAGTAATCCTGTTGCTATAGTCAAATTTCCCACCAAAGCTTTTCCTCCTTTTGTGAGAAATGGTCCCCAAAGTCTGCCCTGGAACTCAGTCGCCCAAAGTCTGCTCTGAAACAAAGTTCCTCCTGCTGACCTCCACATCACTGATGTCTCCGGTAATGACATGGGAGGTCAGCAGGAGGAACCAGTGAGTTGCAGGGGATACAGGATACATCCATATCCTGTATCCCCTGCAGCTCACATTGGTTCCTCCTGCTGACCTCCCAGTCATTACCGGAGACATCAGTGATGTGGAGGTAAGCAGGAGGAACCAGTGTGAGTAGCAGGGGCACAGGAGATGAACAGTCTTGGAAGTGCCAGTTTCAGAGCAGACTTTGGGGGACCATTCCTCACAAAAGGAGGAAAAGCTTTGCTGGGAAATTTGACTATAGCAACAGGATTACTTTAAATACTTTGGCCAACCAATCAGATTGTAGTGGTCATTTGTTCATCACATTTTAGGAAGTATTGGGTCGCTGCACATGTGTGATGTGGTGTGATGTCATCACGCATGCACGGTGATGTACTTCACTGCTGGCGGCCATCTTGATTATGGAGGCCGGCAAAGAGTGGAGGATATAGCAGTCATTACCAGTCATTTTGGTGTCACCCCCTCTGATGGTGTCACCTGGTGCGGGATGCACCCCCTTTGTGAGGCACTTCCAAGACTGTTCATCTCCTGTGCCTCACACTGGTTCCTCCTGCTGACCTCCACATAACTGATGTCTCCTGTAATGACTGGGAGGTCAGCAGGAGGAACCAGTGGGAGCTGCAGGGGATACAGGATATGGACATTTTCAGAAGTATTGGGTCACTGCACATGTGTGATGTGGTGTGATGTCATCACGCATGCACGGTGATGTACTTCACTGCTGGCGGCCATCTTGATTATGGAGGCCGGCAAAGAGTGGAGGATATAGCAGTCATTACCAGTCATTTTGGTGTCACCCCCTCTGATGGTGTCACCTGGTGCGGGATGCACCCCCCTTTGTGAGGCCACTGCATGTACTGAAAAAAACACATTATGAGTGCACAGCTATACTTAAAAGAGGCTGAAAAACAAAATCTTCAGTGAACCTTATGCACTGTGCATGTTCATATCTTTGTGCGTATGAGCAGACGTTTAAGCACTAACTGGCACATGAGATTAAATACACAGGTGCTTGGAAAATAAATTACAAAGCTAAGTACCTGTATATACCTTACCATGTTGATGAGGACGACATAGAATACAGTTTATTATTAATTTAGCTTGGCACCTTAGTCATTAAAGCTCAGTGTATGATCAGCTAGATAGGTTCAAGAATCGGAATCACCATACATCAGGACATCCATGTACATTTTGGTGGGAGATGCAAGCATACTATAATAATATATCCACCCTCGTGTTCATTTACTTTAGAAAATCAGTCACTATGTGCCAATAGAGAGGCAGACTGATCTGTAACACACCATATGTTGATATATTGGGACGATCTTTGAAAATTACCTGAATTTTATAGGACAATTATTTTAGAAATATGAAACATAGGTTTAAAACTTGATTTTTTCACCCCCCTGTGAGCTGCAGTGTGTGGGAGGGGGAGGGTAAGACACACATAAAGGTGGATTTGGCTCAGTCAGGGAAGGTAAAAGAAGTTTCATATAATTTCTACATTTGACTGCCATACCAGAGCTTTTAGTTGTACTTTAATTGAACCTCCACTATTAACCAGTTGACATCCGCGGTGTTAAACCCCCTTCCCATCCAGGCCATTTTTCAGTATTCAGCGCTGCGGTACTTTAACTGACATTTATTCCGTCATGCAGCGCTGTACTGAAATGAATTTTATACCCTTTTTTGGGGACAGATAGAGCTTTCTTTTGGTGGTATTTATTCACCACTGGGGGTTTTATTTTTTTACTATATTAAGGAAAAATTACCGAAATTAAAAAAAAAAAAACAGTTTCCCCTATATTAAATGATAAAACATTTATTATTACCCAATTTTTTGTTAAAATATAAAAGATGGGGTCACGTCGGGTAAAAAGACACTAAACATGTCAAGCCTTAAAATTGCGTGCGCACGCGAAACCTCAAAAAACGATAATACCCAAAATTGGCCCTTTAAAAAGCTTTAAAAGCTGTTACCGCTCATCAGTTTAGTGTTATCAGTGATTGATGGCCCTAAAATGATTGCTCTCACTGCGACGTTCGCGGCGATATGTAACATGTGTAGCGCAATTGTAATCTTTGCGCGCTGGGGCACCGGACGCGTATTTACGTTTATAGGCGCGTAAACGTGGGGGTGGGGGAGTTAAACATTTTGGGGGGGTTTTTTCCCCTTTTTTTATATGTGGCTTTTATTTTATTTTATTTTTTTATGTGTTACTTTTCTTTTTTTTTATTTATATATTTTTTTTTGCACTTATTGTTATTGCTATTATATAGGGGGATAACAACCCCCTATATAATAGCAAAGGCACACTGACAGGTCCTCTTTATGGAGATATTAGGGGTCTCTAGGACCCCTAATATCACCTATGGACCCTAAAAGAAGCTGATGAAGCAGAGATCTGCTTTATCAGCTTCTTCTCTCTCCAGATGACTGACAGGTGAATGCGGAAGTGATGTAACACACATCACTTCTGCATTCACAGCCCGGACGGGGATCAGCAAGGAGCTGATCTCCCGTCCTCCTCCTCCTGACGCCCTCGGAGCCGGTCCCGGGATCCAAGATGGGGCAGCGGATCCCGGGAATCAAGGTGAGGAGTCAGGGGGGGGGGCCGCGAACGAGCACATATAGGCGATCGGCGGGCTATGGACCCGCTGATCGCCTATATGTGAAACACCCGGTACCGGGTGTTCGCATTGGACGGGTCTTTTCTGCCCGTGCGTGCCCGCTAGGGGGCGCGCGCGAGCAGAAAAAAATTGCCGTCTGGAGACGGCAACCCGCAGATGCTGCAGTGCCGTCCGTCCGTTTTTTTACTACGGGCGGACGGCAAGAGGTTAAGCAGTACAGGAGAAAACTGGCATGCAAACAAACACATTTGGCATAGTTTCAAAATCCATATAGTCTTCCTGAAGATGTTTGTTTTTCTATTTTTATTTTTATTCTTTAATTAGTGGTTTAACACTTCTCTCTAACTGGGCGCATTTTCATTATTCCCAATTCCAAACATTTTTTCTTTGTATTGTATAGCGAGGGAAAGGATTAAAGAATGTCTTAGGATCTTAGGATTTTACTGTAGTCTGTGTCCTTTGTGGGATTTTCAAAAGGTGTGTTGGTGGAGCGCTGGACCCAATGTTTGCTAAAAGACAAGCTTGGTATACAGTTCTTACAGGCAGCTCTCTGTCAACTAGGGTATCCCTATGGGTCCCCAGACCAGACACAATAACATGTAATAGGATGAGAGCGCCACAGATATGTAATAAGTCCACAAGAGAGATAAAGAAAAGCGGGGCTTTAACCATTTGTGTCCAACCATTTGGACACTTTTAATGCCCCGCTTTTCTTTATCTCTCTTGTATACAATTCTAATTGGGGGTGTGGTGCCTATCCCTAATGGTTCAATTCAATTTTTATGCTTTAAACATGTAATAAGTCCAATAGACATTTATTATAAGTAAATATAATAAATTATCTACTTGTACTTGAAAATTTTACTAGTGACATTTTACTTGTTTAGGTTTATTGGTTTGTGAGTAATTTGATTGTGGGATTTTATTATTGTATATGCTTCCATGGCTATTGCTTTTATTGTTCCAGTGCTTTTATTACTATATTCTTATTAGTATTAGATAATATTACATTTGGTGAGTTTACAACACAGACAGGGAGCATGGGGAACTAAAGTAATCACCCTTCAGAAGGAAAGACAGTGTCAGCACCAATTCAGAGATGATTTGAGGATCTACAGCCAAGTGATACACAAATAAACTACATTTATTTTAATAGGGTGCTTGAATGCATTTTTAAGATTTAACTCCTAAGTTTAGTGTCACTTTAGGTTTTATGGTTGGGGTTTTCCATTAATTGATTAAAATTCCATGAAACCATCAAAAATACAATATTAAAAATTGTTATCATTCAGAAAAGATCAAATCTGATTTTGTTAAAAATGGTAACTAAATGTAATAACTTGCTTTAATAAATAATGTTGCTAGAGGACATCAGGGCTATTAAATAAGCTAAAGAGCAATGTGCAAAGTACTATAATCACCTCTTGTGGTCCTTATTTTCCTCTATTCCTCCTCTAAAGAGAAGAAAGGTGAAATCTGATTGACAGACAGGTTACTGTTGGTTAATGCACTTTGTATGTCATTAATACCCTATGAAAGATGTTAATAAATACACCTGCATCTGTCACCATGGAAATAAGCACTTCTTGAGCAATCCACCAAAGCTCTTAGGATTAAAATGTATGCCTATAATCAAACAGAAAATATATACGACATGTCACACACAGCTCCTTTACTGACAGAGCACTAAGGAAAGCAGCTATAGACATCTGTAAATCGTTAGCTACTCTTAGCTTTTTCTCAATTGGCCTCATAGTCAGGCCTTTATTTGTTTATTTCTCATCAGGAGGTTGTCTTTCAAGTTGCAAAGTATGGGAAAGACCATGGCTGTTTCAGAAACATTCTGTCCATTATGTGTTCGCAAATTCTCCAATGTGCCGTTAAGGAAAATAAATAGATTAGGTAACTGCTATGGTTCATGGCTACCAGCTAAGCATGTAGCCCACCATTTTGGCACCATAAACAGTGTGCATAGATTAGGAATGCAGACCCAATATTGATAGGTAAAGCATAGAAAGAAACTTATACACCTGCACATGTTAATTGTTTTTGATTTACATTATAGTTTTCTGCTGTCAGTAACTGATTACTGTAGCTGAAAACATTTTAAGACAAAGTGCAGCTAGAACAATGGAATGTACAATATTTGTGAAAAAGAATGTAAGGTCTTTCTGGAACACACAGTGGTGCTAGACAGCTCTGCAGAGTATCTTACCAATGTGTACTCAACAGTGGTGCAAAGCAAATTCCCTAGTAAGGAAGCTTGATTAGTTGCAATATGATTGCTTTAATAAAACAAGGCTTTTTAGGAAGGGGACTAAATTAAATGGATATTTCTAGTCAGGGATCAATGATCTAGGGCAATCTACAACACTCCTGTCCCTCCAGCCTTTCTTTTCTCTCAGATGGCATAATGTATAGGACAGCCAGTTAAGGGACAGGATTGGGCTTTGTCTGAGCTTTCTCTACCACAGGATCTGGTAGAGATTTGCATATTAGTGTTCCACGTGATTTAGGGTTTCCAAGGGGCTGTTAAAGATATGTGAGCATGTACCCAGGAAAATCTAGGTGCCTCAATATCTCTCGCTATTTTGGTGTGTCACTTTAAAAAAATAATATTTGATGACCTAAATTTGCATGTAGCTTGTAATTTGACCATTTTCTCAACTGGGAAAAAATCAGTTTGTACAATTATCATCATTGTCAGATCCATACCATTTTATTTTGATAAGGAGTCCCTGTGGAGGCAAAAAAAAAGCAGCATAGTTTAGACTTATCTTTGCATAATTATACTCCATTCTTTCTAGAGGACTCCAAGGTTCTCTTAGACCAGCTCAACTAAATGTTTCTGGCACCTGTTTTAATTATGCCCCTGGTCTTCTTCTCCTTTGGATGTACCTGGTTGTAACAGACTTACCCGTCCTCGGTCCAGCGCTGCCTGGCGGGGCCGAGCACTGCCAGCTCGGCAGCCAGCTCCTCCCCTTCAGGGCCGTCCAGCTCGGCAGCTAGCTCCTCCCCTTCAGGGCCGTCAAGGACGGCAATCAGCTCCGCCCCCTCACGTCCGTCATGTACAGGACCCAGCTCCTCCCCTCCACGCTCGGCGAGGAGGGATTTAAGGGAGCTGAATTGTTTGTTCAGCGTCCGACCGTTGTCAACGGTGCACGCCGAACAAGACGAGGAGTTGGCTATTGCAGCACATGCACCAAAGGACCCAGCAGCGATCCCTCTAAAGCGCAAGTAGCCTGAAGGCATATGTGACAGTATCTACAGGGTTGCTGACTTATGCCATAATACTAAATCTGGAGTTAAATGGATTGTGAAGTGCTGTTGTGAACTTAAACACTGTGAAGGGGTGGATAACATAGTCTGTGCCTCAGCTCTCATATTCCTTCAATAGACTGTTAACCTGCTCACTACTGATTGTCTCCTGCTGGAGCTATACTTATATGCTGTGATTTCCTTCAGTAGTCTACTATCAATAAGCATTGCTGAACCTGTGTGACTTCAAGCTGTGAGGGGTATTGCTATCGCAGTCTGTGCCTCTGTTTCCACATCCCTGCTAAAGACTGTTAACTAGTTCAATGCTGATTACCACCTGTCGTAGTTAAACCTGTGTGCTGTGAAGGTTGAAGTTTTACCAGGGGAGTTACACACTGCTAGGAAGCATTTCCCGCACACTTGCTGGGACTGGATCGGATCAGTACCTTTAACCACACAACTGAGTGACTAGAACCTGCTGTAGTGACATAGTGTGAATTGTGTGTTGCGTCTCCTATAAACACTACCGGCCTGTTGCGCCGTGGAAGCAGGTGTGTTGGAGGGATTCGCAATACTCAGTTCACCCAAACTAGATATGGGGAACCAGGAGACCCTGTAGCACTCACCTACCCCTTCTACTCGCCGATACTAAACTCACAGTTGCCCAAGTGGCAGGGAATGATGTGAAGTGATTCCAAACCCTCCATCAAACACTAAATGGAGTGTGAAGGAAGGAATCAAAACTGAACCCTGTCATTACACCAGTAACTCTGCAGTTGAGCGTCCAGTTATAGCCTCACGGGTCATTACACTGGTAAAGCTCCTAGGAAGCCTCACATGAAGGTCTATACAAAATGCCCAAATCATATCAACTCGCGCTTCCCAGTTTACAAACAGTAAAATAATGCTTCCGCCTCATGGTGCTCCATGATTTTAAAACAATTTACCATATCACAGAGAAATCTCTGCAGGGAAGTGGGGAAAATGTATTTTCTCCACTGACACCTAAGATCTAGTCCTTTTGGTTAATCCACCTAGCTCATGATTATACGTGAAGGCAGAGATATACTGATCAATAAACTCTAAGCCTTATCTAAAACTGAGATTAAACATTCCACCACAGACTTACACAGTGCTTGCAAAGCAGGTGTTAGCTCAGTCGGAATTTGCATTCCCTCTATTCACAGTTCATGATCAGGATCCTGTGCTATGGTACTCATACTCTTTTATAGAAAGCAAACCAGAAAGGTTATGATGATGTGGGCCAAAAGGAATCCAGATTTCTCCACTGAACCAGTGCAAAGAACAGTAAAGTCTTCTTAAAATAGAAGGTATCTACATATCTCACAACCACAAATACCTAAAATAAGGGGGTTTATTTCTCATTTCTGGGCCAACTGTACATCCGGGGCTTTTTGTTTCGTTTTGGCCCAACTCACTAAAATCTTTCTGGTTATTCTTTCTCATTGCTCCACAAACTCTACTCCATATATCCACTGTCTCTGTACACTGCACTGATGATAGACAACAAGACTCACACAGCCGTATGGAATAAAAGGTTCAATAATACTAGGTTTTATCTGTGTTATGAACCAGCAGATCTGGATGTACATCTGGATGATTTGCATGGCTCAGCCCACTATATGAAAATGAGAAATAAACCCCCTTATTTTTGGAATTTAAAGTGGAAGTAAGAAATATAGAGTAGGTCTTCTTTGTTTTAAGAATGTTCTGCTGTGCTTCACACAAGGCAATTGTATTTGATTGTTACATAAATTTGTATGGTATATGAGATAGGTTATTGTGTATTATTAAGTCAGTAAATGTTAATGGAGACTTAAGATTTAAAGGCAGTCCACAAATTGTCTGTTGACTGTGACTACTAAACTTACCCTAAATTGATGCGCTCCACATCAACTTGAATCTGTTTAGGGATGACACTGAGGTACCTAAAAGTGCAATGGACTTCTGTCTTAACATAACAAGCACATGCTTTGGGACATGCCCTGATACTGCCAGGAAGGACCAGGATCCAGAAGATGAAAAGGTAGCCAGGTAGACAAGAATGATGTCTGCCTATCGTCTGCATCATTAATGGTTATTTTACAGCAGCATTACCCTAAGAAAAGAAAAAAAAGCACAAAAATGTTACATTAGCATCTGTTTTCTATGAGACAAAACCACAAATGTAATGGCCAAATACCAAAAGACTTCCACAGAACATAAAGGAAGCAACACAAAATGGCATTTAAGCCTCCACCTCAAATCTGTGCCTCAAGTGACTGACACTTTGTAAACAGGTTAATGGAATTTCTGGTAAGGCGGTTCAGGACTTCAGGTTACCACAAAGATTTAGCCAAGAAATCAGAATGTGGTTTCTGTACGTAATTTAGATGTGTCAGAATAATTGTCAGGAGTCTGGGCTAACCCATTCCTAAATGTGGGTTCTAAAACTTGGCAGACATCAGGCCTGCTTTTTCTTTTTCTTTTTTAAATAGGGACATTGCAAAGTTGCTTAAAACAGCCAAAAACATTTCAGCTTACTCAAGTTTCCAGTAGTAAAAACATTAAAAAGGATCATATCTGGTTAGTTTAGGTCATTGCCCTTTGCATATTCTGTTTAACATGCTTAATATAGGCATCTGTTTTTTCTTATGTGCTCAAAGAAGAACTCCAGAATATGGAAGCATCATGTGCATCCATACTGCCTCCTTACCTAAGGCAAAAACAAACACCCTTTATATGAGAAAACACATAAGGGGAACATGTGCCTTAACTATGAACACTAAAACATTTACATATTCTGCATTTAAATTTGCATATCAAGCAGTAAAAGCACTTTAAGGCAAGCCCCCAATCACTTCTGTAGCTATAGGCATTTTGGAGAAACGAATCTTTAAACATTTCCTAATACTTTCTATTGATTCAGATTCTTGGCAACCTGCCAGCCCTTTAACTTAAACAAAGCCCAGCTGTTAGAAACCAACTGAAACTGGACTTCATTGTGACCTTTAAGAATGAATTACTTTACAGTACAAGCAGCTAGAGAGGTTAGGGATGGTTCGCTCTAAAGATATTTAATTGCGTGTTAAGAAAAGGTAAAAGTCTTAATGTCCATACTCTGGGTACAAGTGCACTTTAAGGCCACCACATATATCTGAAGGCAGGTAGATGAGCAAGCACGATTTGACCACATGTTTCACAGGCAGCAGAGTCTTCTTATATAATTTAACAGTAGTAATTGAAAAAGAATTTCCAGCATGTCTGAATAAGTTTTATCACTGGTTTGCAATTTAGGTAAGTATACCATAGACATTAGATACTTTTCAGATAGGGAGCTTGTCACCTAATATTTCTTTATGGGGTCCACTTTTGTCTAACAGTGACTCAGCCATGCAATGATTTAAAAATCCTATAATCAGACTCATCCTATCATCAGACTTTATTTATCATCATACATGTACATTTCTCACCCCACCCTTCTCTCTCCTTCTCGCCATTCACTAAAAGCCTTGTATTTTTTTCTACAGAATACAAGGTATTCTGTGAATGGAGAAGGAGAGGGGGTGGGGGAGGAAATGCAGGTATTCAACATGATTTCCTTCTCTATTCCCAGAACTCTTTGTATTCTGTGAAAATATATCAGGCTTGTTATGAATGGGCGAGGAGAGAGTAGGGGCCAGGGATGCCAATGGAACTCTTCACTGCCATAGCTGCAGCACCTGGAAATCCAGCGCTGTGTGTAGGAGCCAGCTTGCTGCAAGGTATGATTATTTATACTACGCAGCAGCCCTCTACACTCAGTATATATATTTTAGGGCTAACTTACTTAATTATAACTTTTTAAAATGTGTTTTACTTTACACTTCTAAATTTTCTTCACTCAAAAGTGAAGGAGATCCTCTCTAGATTGTTTCACCGGAAAAAAAGTGCCACCAGTGGAAGATTTCCTCTATTACTATTCTTGATTTTACCCCAGTAAAATTGGTCACCAGGAGTAAATCTCCCCCAGCGAGGATATATATGGCAATAAAAAACACATACAGGTGAAAAATAATAACAATTGTCTTTAGATAAATTTTAACTACAAATAGACAAACAACATTTTTGAGCATCAGAAGTTCTTCTTTAAGCACAAAGTATATCTTTGCAATTGTTATTGCACATGCGGCGTGCACCATTGTGTAAGCAAGAATTGGAAATTTTTTCACCAGCCATCACTAGAACTCTACGGCCTATTTATGGCCACCTCAATTCATATACAGTAGGTCTAAACTCAGGCTCGGTTTACATGAGCCTCTGAGGTCAAATATTTCTCCATCATGTTTTTCTGGAAAAGCATGTAAAAGACAGGAGAGAGATTGCAGGGTAGGACAGAAAAGTAAATAATTGCTCAATAGGCAAATCGTATTAGCCCCCCCCCCCCCCCCCCACCCCCCAAAAAAAAAAAAA